CTCCGACAGCGGCAACCGGGGGTGCGGCCGCGGCCTGCGGCGGAGGCGGCAGCGGCGGCGGCGCAGCCGCCGCCGTCGTCGTCGCAACCGCCTCCTGCGGCGGCGGTGACGGCGGCGGCAGCAGCTCCCCAAGCCCCCCGACGGCGACCGAGATGTCGGGTGCCGCCGCCAGGAGGGCCTCCGCCTCCGCCAGGCTCAAGTTGACGCCCTTCTTCGCTGATCGGGTCAAATGGCAGCAGCCGCGTCGCAGCAGGAGGAGGCGGGGTAAGGAGGGTGAGGAGGAGGGGTACAGAGGCGGCGGCGGTACAGAGTAATCACCCTAGAAAAGAAGAAGAACAAGAGGGAGGTTTTGGCGCCAAAAGGGCCATTAGGGCGGGTGTGACGGGAAGTCGACCCGGACAGCAACAACAACAACAACAGCAGCAGCGGCAGCAGTAGCAGCAGTACCCCTCCAAACCCTCCTCCTCCTCATCATCTTCATCCTCATCATCACCCCGCCCCCAACCCGGATGGCCAGGTAACGCACAAGGGTGGAGTTGTCCGTCCTTCTCATAGTACTCCCGGAGCCCCAGGTAGCAGCTGCCCCTGCGGAAGGCGGGTGAACAGAGGCAGCCGGGAGATGGGGGGGGAGGAGAGACGAACCACGACACCGCGAGCGAGTGAAGCTGATGCCAAAAACGGGGTGTGTGTTGGGAGCGCCGATGTTTGCAGGTAGACGATGCAACGGGGGATGTGGTGGTGCGGAATCGTCGGCCACCAGCGGCGTGTTACGTAGGCCGCGAACTTCTTCTCCCTCTTCTTCTCAATCCCATCCCTCCCCTTCCCTTCCTCCCCATCCCTCCCCTTCCCTTCCTCCCCTCCCCTCCCCTCCCCTCCCCTCCCCTCCCCTCCCCTCCCCTCGCCTGCCCTCCCCAACGCCATCCCCACCTGAACTCGCTGATGGCAGCCAGCCGGGTCCGGGACAGCTGACACGCCGGTGCCGCCGCATTCCCGGCCCGCTGCGCCGCCAGCAGCTGGGGCAGCTCACGAGCCAGCCGCGCCCACTGTCCGGGGTCCATGGACAGTCCCTTTTGAGAGGGAGCCTCACCGCCCTCACCCT